AGTCAAGCTCTAACTAATTATCCTTAAATATTTGCCTTACTCAAACTCACACTTTCGCACTAGCCACGCCTTTTCTGGCAGTATGGCACCGCCCCTTTAGGAAGGGCTTAAACGCTTAATAAATAAGCTAAGCAGCTTGCCAGACATCGCTGATATAGTTGTTGCTGTTGTTATTGTGGCCATATCGATGGCTCAACCTTGCCAAGTAGTTGGTATAGTTGTTGTTGCTGTTGTTGTTGTTGTTGTTGTTGTTGTTGTTGTTGTTGTTGGTGGTGGCAACAGGGCATGACAATAATGCATGGGAACCGCCCGTTGCGGCCCTCGGGTTAAGCATAAATATGTCAAGTGTTAATTGCTGCCACTTAACGCAGAGCACAAACTCAAATACAACCGCAGAGACACATGTACACAGGGAAAATGGAATTAAGATGGATGAAATGAGTCTCTAAATTAACTAAGATACTTGTTAGTTTATAGACAAGTTGAAGTTGAAAGCAAAAACAATGTAAAAAACAAAATAGTGAACAATTTTTCAAAATCTATTTATTTTCTAATATCATAATATGGCCTATACTATTTCTCTCAGTGCACTCACATATAGCAAAGACGTGTAAATATGACTTTAATCTACTTAGCTTAGCAGCTGCCGCCTAAAACCCCCCTTCAACACAACCCCCTCCTTTTTTCCAAGTCTACAACTCGAAAGTAGCAGCACCAAAAGCAAACAAACCCACACACACATACACCAACACACACACCCACACATACACACACACTTGTTACACACCCAATAATGTGCTTTAACAAGTTTCTTATGGCCATAAATTCAACAAGCCAACAAAAGCTCATAAAAAGGACTGACTACGGCCACCCTTACCTTTCGTCCTTGGATCCATCAGCCCTTTGGGCTAGAAGTGGGTGGCTTCAATGGCTGATTGGCGACTTGGAACTATCCCCACTCTGTGTTTGTCTATATAAATAAGAGCTGGCATTGCCGACATGCCACTGACATTTCATATCTGAACGTTGGTTTTCCACAAAAAGACACCTCTAAAGGTTAGCCAAGGAAAAAGAAAAAGCAGGCAATTTAAAAAAAACAATCAAGAAGACCAGCCTTGTTTTTCTTTTTTGCTGGTTGATTTATTAGAAAAATCAGAGTATGCCTATGCTGGGGACACTTCAATTAAAATCGTTTTACATGCCCCAGGCTACGACTGGAATTTAATTTGAATGCCATTTTCCAAAATATGAGCAAAATTAAAAAATTCCAAAGCAAATGTTATCCTAAGAGTTGTTTTTCTTTTGGCTGAAAAATGTCAGAAAAATATGAATTAATTTAAATTCGAACTTAAAAGGGGGATAAACCTTTTTGTTTCACCTTTTATGTGATTTCTTAACTTTTCTAACCAAGGCTAATAAACCCCTTAACTTCTAATAAGCACTCAAAATTAACCTTCTCCCCCATCACAGCTCCTGCCATAGATATAGCCATCAATCGTTGATTATCATTTAGAAGCCCATCATAATTATCATTATCATTCTGGCTGGCAAGTCAACTGAGCGAACTCGAGTCAATTACCATATCAGCAACATTGTTGACCAAAACCGATTTCACTTGGCGTCACAGCGAGAGAAACATGAGAGAAATGTGACGGGGAAATAGGGAGAGAATCCAAAAACCCAAACTCAAACCAAAAACCAAAATAACGCTCAACAGTATCAGATTATATCCCGGCGATGGCGATTTTTTCTCGCTCAGTTGTCAAACGCCAGTCCGATGTGAAAGACGCGAAAAAATCTATAGATATACTATTTAACCAAAGGCAGGCCGCTGGCGGCAGTGCAAAAACAAAAACAAAAACTAATAATAATAATAATAATAAATAAAAAACCTGTTGAGCAGTCGCACCTAACATATGTCTATATAGAAAGATCAACATTTGCATAGTACATGACGGCGGCGGGTCTTTTCACGGTGAAAAGTGCAAAGTTCCTTCTTCTGTGAATCACTGAAATAGGTTCCATATTTACATATTTGAACCTGACAATGATGGCCGTTGAGACCCTACCCCTGCCCCTGCGTTCGATTTATCGATTTTGTATTTTGAATATTGTTGCGCCATTATCAACACATTTATATAAGCGATAATTATATTAGAAGTTTATCTCGAACCAACGCTGGCGATAAACTCCACTGGATTCGTTGGGCCTGCGGGATTACTCATCGCGTCAACTTCAGTTGGAAAAAGTAGTGCAATCGGTGACAATGTGTTAATCAGTGAAACGGAACATAATCCGCTGCTTTTTCTATTTGTGATCGGTGGTGGGCATGTGATACCGTCTTATTGGTTTAAACCTTTACAGGTGGGTAAATAATTTAGTGAAGCACCATCTGCTAAGATGTTAAATGCTCCACGCTTGGTTGATTTAGTGCTAAGGTGCTAAAATCCGCATCTTTACAGCCTGAGAATTACACTTGAACTGCGATCTCGCTATGCGAATTGATTGTTTTTTAACGCATGGCGGAAAATTCCACCTAATGCGGGAGTTATCCAATATTTAACGAAGATTTTTCATAACTGATGATGTGCACAAATCGGAGTTAGAGTTTGGTGATTAAACCATTTACTTTCCAATAAAAGATAACGACTGTTTTATAGAGAAAAAGTAACAAAGAGGGAGAGAGAGAGTTTGGGTTATAGATAGGGAGGTACTGCTGCACATTGATTAGGCAGGTAAATATGGTAAATACATGCTGTCTGCTGCAAACAGTCTAAAAATAAACTATTTTTTCTTTATGGAGATAGCAATTGACATCAATTTGATAATAACGGCCATGCCAGCAATGAATGGATCGTATTAAGATAAAAATAAGTTCGAAAAATCATGTAGTATTATGTACGAGGTGTGTTCAAAAAGTAAGGTGACTCTTCAAATTTCGCGAATTTCAAATTTTTCGGTTATCGAAACCTTTTAGAAGTTATACGAGGTGTGTTCAAAAAGTAAGGTGACTTTTCAAATTTCAAATTTTTCAAATTTTTCGATTATCTTCAGTTTTGGGAACAAGAAAAAGTCACATGGGGCCAAATCCGGTGAATATGGTGGCTGAGGCATTATTGTGGTGTTGTTTTTGGCCAAAAAATCCAAATCCTTTGATCCATATTTTTCGATAGCAAAAAATCGCCGAGCTCGCAAAATAACTTGTAACTTTACGCCTCTCACAACCAAACAAAAGAGGATGTTCCATTGAAACTTGGTACAGATGTTAGGGAAGAGTGTACCAATATAACAAAACAAAAAAATCGATAATCGAAAAATTTGAAATTCGCGAAATTTGAAGAGTCACCTTACTTTTTGAACACACCTCGTACATTAACTTATTTTTATAAAGTTATACAAATTTGCACAAATCAGAAGCTTCCCCTCCTCTTGAGCTTAATTAAATAATCAAAAAAAAAACGTATATTTGTTTTTCCAACAATGACACCTAATCGATATGTGTACTCAGTGATATTTACATATATCCACTGGCATCCCAATATGGCTTAGTTGACCCCAGGACTTATTGGTATTTCCTTTGTTTTGTCCTATTCCTTCGGCTAGATTTAAATTCCATTTTCCCTGAAAAGTGTGCTACGTTTGCCAAGGAATGTGCCCATGGATATGTGTGCGTGTCAGCATGTGTGTTTGTGCAGTCGGGCGTGTGAGTGTCTCAATGCTAATTTGAATAATGACAACGACATCAACGCGCCATTTTCCACTGTCGTCGTGCTGCCATTTGGCGTTTCCGGTGCGGCATCGGGAATTTAACATCAAATAAGCTGCTATATAGTAGTCTGTCTCTCTCTATATATATATATATATCCGGTTTGTTATCAGCTAAAACAAAAACAGCAACTCTATAAACACACACACAAAATTATGCAGACGCCCTTAGAAGTTTACAAAAAGGAGGTTTGACAAAGAAATTTGAAGGCTCTTACTGACAGATTTCCGTTACATAAATTACACATTCAAAGAATTATTCAAATGCCACAAATCGTGTAATTTCATTTGCCACAAATTCGATTTTTCCTTTAATGGAATTGCAATAAATAATGATAAAATGAGAAGGACTTCTGCTTGAAATTTAAACTCATAAATTACAATTTTCTTTGAAAGGTTCTTCTAGCAGCGAAAGTTAGAAGTGTCGCAAAAGGGTATTAGAAAAGGGTTCCCCAAAATAATTACAAACTCATTTTACTTCATTAAGCAAGAAAATATACAACTCAACGAATTATTGAAATGCCACAATGCAAGGTAATTAAATTTACAGAATTTTCAATATTGATTTTGTCCTTTGCAAGAATTTTTAACACAATGAAGAGGAATTAATTTGGGGAGTGATAGAGAAGGTCTATGCCATTGTTGCTTAAATTTCATTTTAGGCAAAGAAAAGTATAAAGAGGACCACCCGTAGAGTGTGAAATTAATTTGAAGTCCTTGTAATGTCCTATTCAAAAGGTTAAAAGGTGCTTTAAGGTTAAAAAGAAAATATTTAGCAGTTCTTTCAGAAGATTTTTTGAGGGGCAAAAATTGTAAATACTTGGATAAACTTCATAAAAGCTCCTCTCGATTGGCATTGTGAGACTTAAAGATCTGTTTTCCTACTTCCCACGTCTCTTAAATTCATTTACACTTCTCACCATTTTAATTTTCGATTTGCTCCACAAAATGTTTACATTCATTAGGCGGCACTCGAACTTCAAAGTGAAGATTGAAAGCTGGCTGATTTACAGAAATTAAGAACACTGTAAAATATAAGAAGTTGAAATTGTTCCATGGAAAATTCTGTTTATTTTAGAGATGTTAAAGATGGAATATGGAATATGAATTATTTTATTTTCCTACTGTTTCAGAGGGTTAAGGGTCAGTCCTTATTCGAACAACAATAATCTCATTTTAATTAATAAATCATTTTATCTTTGTCTTCTCTCTCTCTCTCTCTGTGTAGGACCGCGGAGGAGGGGCAGTTGGCCAACATGGATGACGACAAGCTGGTTTCGGACGAGGTGCACATGCGGCAGTTGAGTGCGACGCCCTCGTCGGCATTTTCGCTGCAGCAGCGTCGACAGAGCAACAGTGTGACCCATTCCGCTCCACCCGAGCTCACGCAGCGCGTGGGGGCGGGTGACACAAAAGAGGAGGCGCCATCGGTGGGTGGTAGTGTAGCAGCGGGTGCTGGCATTCCTCTGGAAGAGGAGAGGGACTCCGATGACAGGGTGATACTTCGACGGGCTGTGGATAAGGGGGCCATTGCCTTGGCTCAAATCGACGACCTAAAACTGGAGGGGGATGATGATGACGATGAGGCGGAGAATGAGGATGAGGTGGATGGTCTGGGTCTAAGTAATCCCGCAGCGCAAACCACAGATGATGAGCAGATTACGGTCAAAGGAACAGGAGCCGGAATAGGAACAGCAGTGGCCACATCCTCAACAGCAACAGCTGGGGCATCCTTCGAGGTAAGTTAATATGTTTGTGTGCCAACGCACTTAGGACTAATTAAAGTCAAGCTAAAACCAAAACAGCAGGATGCAACCACTACCACCAATGCCACAACGATAGCCACTCCGGACATGTCGAAAATTCCCCGACTTCCCGGAGACGGTGCCCAAATGGAGGACACTGGCGACCTGCCGCCATCGCTGCGTGCCTCCACCACATCAATTTTGTCCAATTTGCGCAAGAAACAGCAGGGCGGCGCACTGCGCGGGGGTGTGGCCAAGCAGACGCCTCTGCGGGTGCAGTCCGTTCGGATTGTGGAGGCCAAGCGCGCCTATGGGCCCAAACGACGGACGGAGAGCTGCAGCATCTTTGGCAACAGCAATTTCGGTAAGCGGGGATTTTTCAAATCCCGGAAATGGAATGGAGTGGGTGAGATGTGGTGGTCACCACTCAAGGCGGTATTGTCCCAAAACCGTTTATTGCCTTTATTTTAAGGGGAAGCTGAGACCGCGTAAAGACTGTAATCCTCTTGACTTTACTAGGGCAATTCCGCTAAACCACATAACCATTTCACTAAGACTTTTCTAGAAAAAGTAGCTTTTCTTATTCAATTAAGTATTATATTAGTTCATAATAATCAACACTTTTAGTTACATAGATATATTTACTATATATTTTTCATTATCTTTCAAAGAACACGATTTGGAATCGGGAAACTCCTTGGCCAGCATTGCAGGCCAACCACAGCGACCGCTTAACAATGAGATGTACTCTGCCTTCAAGAGTGGCAATGTGGTCAAGGGAATCCTTTGTCCTTCTTTGACCAACTCTTTTAAACAGAGTTCCCTGGAACGATCCTATCTGACATACACACATCGCCAGCGGCAGAAGTCTCTGATCATCGTGAATGTGGTGGATTTTGTGCTGAAGATTGTTTTGGCTTTCGTCTGGATAATGCGACGAAGTGAACTTGGGCCATTTGAAAGTGATGGGGGAACGGTGAGTGGGAATATTCCTACAATTAGAGCCTATAGAAGCCTTCAGCTTTAAGGAAACCTTCCTTATTCTTTAATTTCCCTTATTCCCTTACAGAGCATGGCTACGGCCATCACTTGGTCGGTTTGCTGTGGAATTGCCAACATGGCCATATGCTTTTTGGGCTACTGGCGTTGCTTTGCCAACAACTATTTGCACTGGGCCGCGGTCTGCACATGGGTGCTCTTCAATATCCAGGGTGAGTGGTTGGGCTAGTGGGTGGTCGTAAATCATGCGTCACCTGCAAGGACCGTCAAAATGGCTAATCCTTTTGGGTTGACCTGCGGGATGAGTCGTAAACATTGTTGCGTACATCTAGCCATGATTTTCCATCTCCCATCTCTCGGCACAGGATTCGTTGGCCAGGGCGTTGGATTCGCGGATCGCGAGTACCTGGTATGGTATATTCTGTTCGTCATCTTTGTGCCGTATGCGATGTTGCCATTGCCCCTAAAATGGTGCGTTGTGGGCGGTACCATCACGGCCAGCTGTCACCTGGCCGTAATTACCATCATCAAACTGCAGCACGGCGAGGTAATTGGCTTGCCTGCCCAAATCGAAATCGTTTTCTGACTTTTGCCTAAACACTTTTCTGGATTTTATACCAGCAGGCCACCATCAATGCGGAGTGTGTTCTTTTCCAAATCTTCGCTAACTTCATTCTATATACGGCCATCAACGTGGCTGGTATGTACACAAAGTATCTCACGGATCGTGGACAACGGCTGGCATTCATCGAAACCCATAAGGCTATGGAGCATAAGAAGGAGTCGGAGAAGGAGCTGCAGCGGACACAGAAACTTTTGGATTCAAGTGAGTTGCAGGTTAAGGAAGTCTCAAAAAATTATAAATTAAAAATTTACTAAAAATATTCATATATATTATGGAAATTTATCATAAAAGCGTTCTAAAAAAGAAAAAGACCTCTACAAAATCTCCGAACAATATTAACTGAATTCCTTTTAAGACTTTATTGCCGTTTGCCTAAGTAGAAACTACAAATGCGCAAATGCCCTTTTTTAATAAGTTGTTAGCTCTGTTGAGGGACTTCTAAGTGGCATTTCCTTATAAAGAGCAGGTAGTGCGGGACCTCTCCGCCGTTCCTAGAAATTTCGCGTTGCCTGACAACTGCAGGCCGTTGTAGCTTGGTTTTGCCTCCAGTCCTTGAGTGGAATATATATTGCCTTTTGGCTCGTGTTCAAGTTGTTGCTAACCCCACTCCGTGGCAATTCTGCTCCCTTTTCTTCGCCAGTTCTGCCCAACATCGTGAACAATCAAATTCGCAGCGAAATGTACAAGGGCACGGATCCCACGGTGGAAACGCAGTTCAACAAATTGTACGTTTATCCCATGGACAATGTGAGCATTTTATTCGCCGACATTAAGGTGAGTATATACAAGGAAGCCTGAGAGGTTTATAGTGTGAATTTGGACACCTTTTGCTTTTAACTCCCCTCAGGGTTTCACCGAGTTGGCCAGCAAAACTTCGGCCCAGCAGCTGGTGAAAATCTTAAACGACCTGTTCGCCCGATTTGATCGCATTGCAGAGGTAAGTTGCCAGAAAAGTATATGTAACTTGAAATCCCTTGAAGAAATTTGTAATCTGTGATTGTAATTAAAACATTTAGCTGAGGTTTTTCTTAAGATATGACAGCTTTTGTCAAAAGTCTTATTCCTGATACAAACTTTTTTGTCAGAATTTGCCCATAAGAAGCCAAAAATGGTCGGAAAACGGAATGGTATATCTCGTTAGGCTTGTATTTCAATCTATTTTCAAAATATTGAAGTGCCATTCAAATCTGAAGAAAAAAATATTTTTTCAATTTTTCGAAAAAATGATGATGGTACCCCTTACAAAAAAGTGAAATTTCACAAAAAATTTAATATCAGAAAATCATCGGCACAACCACATAGAAAGTTTGCTTGGGTCGTTAGCTGCACAAAACGACCCGCCTTATAGCTGTACGTCTTATTTTGACAGAGATATAAGCATGATACTGGTAGAAATATCGCTAATACTCATAATTTGGATGTTATGCCTAATATAGCAGTGTATTTCCACAACAACGCCAAACATTGTCAGAATAAGGAGTGTCGTACCTCGTTGAGTTCGTAATTCAATACCCCGTCAAACTGTGTACCAGGCTCAAAAAGTGATTTTTTGAGATTTTTTTGTACATTTTTATGATGCGAAGAAAATGCAAAAATCGGTTTGTCCCGCTTTGTGGCCCAAAATATCAGTACTTTCTTCATCACGAAGCCAAAAATGATCATAACATGGAATGTTTTACCTCATTGAGTTCATATTTAAATTCCCCGTCGAACTGTGTACCACACTCGAAAAGTGCCTTTTTTAGATTTTTTGTAAGATTTTATAATGAAAAGGACCTGTCTCAAATCGGTCTGTCCCAATTCAAAGATCAAAATATACGTATTTTTCCCATAGCAAGACCAAAAGTGGTCGGAATTCGGAATGCCATACCTCGTTGAGCTTCTTTTTCAATCTGTTTTCAAAATATTCAAGTGCCATTAAAATCTGAATAAAAAAATATTTTTTCAATTTTTCGAAAAAAAGATGATGGTACCCCTTACAAAAAAGTGAAATTTGACAAAAATTTTAATTTCCGAAATTCATTGCCACAACCACATAGAATGTTTGCTTGGGTCGTTAGCTACACAAAACAATCCTCATTATAGCTGTGAGTCGTATTTTAACAGAGTTATAAGCATAATACTGGTAAAAAAATCGACAATTTTACTCAAAAACCATCATTTCGATGTTAGTTCAAAAATATCAGTACTTTCCCCATTACAAAGCCAAAAATCATCATATCATGGAATGTTGTACCTCGTTGAGTTCGTATTTAAATTCCCCGTCAAACTGTCTAACACACTCAAAAAGTGCATTTTTTTAGATCTTTCGTAAGATATTATGATGGTACCCCTTGGTCTGACCCAATTTTTTTTTCCTCCCCAAAAACCGGCATTTTCCCCATAATTTAGCCAAAAATGGTCGGAATATAGAATGTTATACCTTGTTGAGCTTGTAATTCAATCTATTTTTAAATTGCATTCAAATGTCTAAATATTTTTAGCAATTTTCAATTCAAAAATGTACCCGTTATTTTTAAAAATGTGCCATTAAGACAGTTTTCTGTGTAGGTTCTTGCATTCTGTGTATACTTTATTGAGCAATTTTCCCACTGATTTTCATCGTTTTCCCCACGTTTCCTCCCTCAAGGACAACCACTGTCTGCGTGTGAAACTGCTGGGCGATTGTTACTATTGTGTGTCGCAGTTCGAGAGCGACAACTGGAAGACGCGACCGGATCACGCGGTGTGCAGTGTGGAAACTGGCCTGCACATGATAAAGGCCATTAAGGATGTGCGCCTGCACACGCACGTAAGTGGAATCGAATCGAATCGAAACGGGGAGAACACGAGCAGATATGGTCCTTAAATATTTATTTAAATTTTGTAACTTACAACGTGAAAAAATGGGAAATGCACTTAAAACGTAGCATACTTTTTGGGGGAGGGACTGAAATATTTTGGCGAGTTAAGAAGATAAAAGGAACGAAAATTGAACAAATAGGCAGTAATAGTTTTCAATAAGCAACCTGCTGACATCTGTTGAGGGGTTTTGAACTTTTTTATGTGAGCGGCAAATTTGAAATATTTAATACCCATTTTTCAGTATTCAGCTGTTTGGCATTCCTTTATTTGTGAGGAGGTCCTTTTCGTTTATTTTTTATTGCACAATCCAGTGCCCCGTTTCTGACCCTGGCTAGTGGCACTAGTATATATAGTATATATAGGTATATAGGAGCACGAGCAGCAGCAGTAGCTGGAGCTGTAGAGCAGAGCCAGTGGACGTGTTGACAATTCATTTGTATGCAAATCTCAACAGAGCAAAAGGCAACGACAACAGTCGGCCGAAAAAGCAGTAGCGAGAGTTAAATTTTCATACGACAAAGTGCCACTGGAAATTAATTGATTTTTTTTTTTTGGGTGCGACGAAAGCTTTGGGGCATGCCGCAGAAAAACGGGGGAATCCCATATTCGTTTACGGGGATTTATGCCGCCTGCAGTCGCATAATTGGGACGGCGACTTAATTGCTGCGGCAGTTTGACGATTGACTGGGTAACTCACTCTCTGCCAACCGACTGACAGCTCAAGAGGAAATTTGTGGAAATGGTAGGATATGAGGGAACTTTATTTCATTGCTTTCTCTGAGTGTACTTCTCATACTCATCCGTTGAATATTCCGCTGTGCTTTGCATATTTTAAGAAATGCGTTTTGCAAATTACAGGTGGACCTCAATATGCGAATCGGCATACACAGCGGCTCGGTGATGTGCGGCGTTTTGGGCAACAAGAAATGGCATTTTGATGTTTGGTCTAATGATGTTATCATTGCAAATCACATGGAATCTGGCGGTATTCCCGGGTAAGTAAGCCAGTCACGTAGAAATCCAAACGGGAAACGGCAACTACCCAGTGGCTTGTGATTGCAATCCTAATGAGTTGACATATCCAAATGGGTTCAGAGGGGGGGAATATCCTAATATACTGGCAGGATAATTTCCCTAATAAAGTGACTCATTACTCATTAGAAACGGAATTGCATACATAAATGATTCTGTTAATAACTATGTCAGTGTCAAAGGTCAAAACAGACTAATTAAGTTGCATAGTCAGCAGCCACAGCTTCTACTTATTAATTCAGGAAAATAGTTTCTCGTTTCTACACTTGAAAAATGGTTGTTAAAATAAAATATTTGTTTTACATTTTGATTTTAAATCAATTTAGAAAGGTAACTAATATTTTTTTTATATCAAAATATTTTAAATATTTTTTTAAAATCACTTTTCCCACTTTGTAATTTACTTGACCTAAGTTTTAAAATTACAAACCACCTTCTTAGTCTTCAATTAAACTGTAAAACTATCCGTAAGCCTAACAACTTTGACTTTGGTGGCAAGTCTCAGGCTGGCCACAGTTTTAATTGGCCAATTTGCGGGTTCTGTGGCTCAGCTCCTGCTCTTTATTTTGGCTCCTGGCCTTCTGTAGCTCACAACAATTGTTCGGCAATTTTGCAAGCTTGGCGTGTTTAGACACAAGAAACCAAATAATAGAAAGAAACAGCCCAACAGCAGTGGGAAATGAAGAAAATCCGAGCTACGACCGCAGAACCCGAAACAAAATGAAAAGCCCCAGAAATGAAAAGCTCAATTTAATGCAAAATGCTTTGATGTAATGGTGGCTGGTTTGGGCGGCAACCAGAAACCAGCAACCAGTGTGTAAGCCGTAGTAGTAGTAGCTGCTCTAAGGAACCCAATGGAGACCCAATTATGAAGGGCCCACACCACCCACACGAAAAACACAAAGAGCTAGGGCGGGAAAAATGGTAAATGAAATGGTCGGTGGTTCTGGGCGGCAAATCACCACGCACATTCATAGAAAACGTATGCAAATATTTGAATTTAATTTTCGCCAACTACATTTCCGAACTTTCAACTCAAGCCTGGCCTATTGCTAATACTCTCACCTTGGAATCTGTTCATTCCTTCTTCCGCTCCACAGAAGAGTCCACATTTCGGAAGCAACGTTGAAGTGCCTGAACGATGCCTACGAGGTGGAACCGGGAAATGGCGGCAGTCGAGACAATCACCTCAAAATGCTGAACGTTAAGACTTTCCTCATCAAGCGCACCGAGCCATTGAGGTAAGTGAAAAGTACACAAGGAGAAAAGGAGGTACTGTTTCCAGTAATCCAGAGATTTGAGAAAAAAGCTCTTACCATTTTCTCTGAGTGTATTCAAATAAAAAACCGAAAATTGCTAACCCATCGCTTGTTTCACCACGCCCCTCCTCAGACCCAAAAGGCGTTTTGGCACGCGCAGCAGCGCCCATTTGGCAGGAAGTGTGGCCACCGCCCCCTCCGCCACACCCACCGCACTGCCCAAATCAATCTCGGCCAGCGGCAGCGGAAGCATCGGTGGGGTAACCACAACGGGTGGCGATGGCGCCAGCATCGATGGACGAAGTTTGGAGTACGCGGCCACCATTGCCGTCCCTGCCCAGCAGCCCGCGCAACTTCTTCAGCAACAGCAGAAGAAGAATATATCTTTGAACTCGCTGCCTAATGTGGTAGAGGGTGTGGCTATGGACAATCGAAGGATGAGGAATGGATGTGGTGGGATGGCAGGAGCAGCTGGTGCTGGAGGAGCCGGAACAGGCCCATCTGGAATGTCAACGGTTTCCTCGCCGACGGCCATGATGTCGGCACCGCTGGAGGTTCAGCTGAGGCCCAGGAACGGAGCCACCAGCATTCAGAATCTAACGGAAGCTATGGACGGCAAAGGCTTGATTATCGAGGATGAATCTACCACAGACTGGATACCGGAAATTCCATTCAAGAACGTAAGTATTATTATTTTTTAAAATGAAATATATTCATTATTTTATCCTTAACAGCTTAACAGTCCCGAAGAAGGACTCAATCGTGCAGATTCCATACTAGTTGATACCAAAGAGGATCATAGAGTATCCGTAGCAGTTCTGGATGAGGAGGTAAGCGAATAAAGCCCTCGTAAGCTTATCTTTCTACAACTTCCCCCACTCCCCCACTTCAAATCCAGATCGACGAATTCATCGAGCAGAACATTCAAATCAATTCGAATAAGGAAATCCGACGCGAGTACCTAAATCCCTGGACCCTGAAGTTCAAAGACAAGAGCCAGGAGCAGAAGTTCTGCCAGTTGCGAGAGGATATGTTCCGGTGCGTATGCAAGCCTGCTAATGGAAAGCAAACAAAGGGCAGGACTCTCTTAATTAATGAACTGTTGCTAATTGATTTTTGCCCCCTGCCATTGCTCCTGTTCCTGCTTCTGCTTCTGCTCCTTACCATTCAGATCCAATATGCTGTGTGTGTTTGTCATCTGGATATTTATGGTTCTGTGCCAGGTCATCATCATTCCACGATGCACGCGTCTCATTATTTGTCTCTCGGCGGGCACAGTAATTCTTACTTTCTGTTGCGTTCTGGTAATGGCTGAGGAGTTCCCAGGTGAGAGATTATAGAGTAAATGGAAAATGTTTCAGTGCCATTTTACAATTGAAAGATTATTTGGTGATGGAAGAAATCGTTACGAGTCTCAGATCACTTTTTAACAAAGGCCTAACCCGAAAAACGAAATATATGTTTCTGTAGCATACTTTTAGGTACTTTATAAAACCTCTACTATTTTCCTCCAGGACTCCCCCGTTTCCTGAAGACGAACTCTGCTAAATTGGTACATCAACGTCAGCGTCGCACTCTGTTTATTTGCGGTGTCATTGTGTCCATGTGCATGCTGAGTGCCATTGGACTGGTCCTGTGCCCATCGTCCACCTACATTGGCACCGTTGACGAGCACTCTCGCAACCTGCGCTTGACTTCGGCTTATAGTAACACCTCCATGGCGGAAAAGGAATACAAGCTGAGTGTGTATCTGCAGGCCACCATCCATCATAATATCACAATTAGCACTCCGGCTAGTGGAAGCGGAGGTGCTTCCTCCTTGGTGGACATTACGAGTGGGCCATCCGATGAGTTGCTAAGAAGCACTCTGGCCAATGCCCTCAGTTTGAACTTGACACCACCATTTGAGCAATCCCATCGACCATATACACTAACCAACAACGGGCATAGTGTATCCTTGAGTAATCTTAGCTATGTAGATCCCTCGGGAATGCGAAGTTCAGTGGAACTCGAGGTGGAATGTGCTCATCCGGAGTACTTGGTGTTTACCTGGGTGCTCTGCCTTGTCTCCTTGGCCACTGCCCTGAAGCTTTATTACCTGGTTAAAGCTTTAATGGCCTTGGGCATGGTTGGATTCTATACAACGCTGATCATGTTTAAGTTCGGCTCCGGGGACAGCTTCAGTTTGGTGGAGCTCTCTAGGCTGGGCATGCCTCTTGGTGTCCAAATGTTGATACTGCTAATCTCGTTCCTGGTAATGGTCTGCTATCATGCTAGATTGGTGGAGGTAAGAGAGATTTTAGGGCGTAATGTATCCAATCAGGCTCATTACTCATCTCGATTCCCCCCAGGTAACCTCCCGTTTGGACTTCATATGGAAAGAACAAGCCGAGCGTGAACTGACCAACATGAAATCCAATCGTGCGCTTAATGACACATTAATTAAGGTAAGAGATTTGTCCCGATACAGTTGGCAAAATGTGGTTAGCACATTTAATACAATTAAAACGTGGGATATTAAAGCCAAAAAAGACATTTTCTTTAAGTGTACCTTCCCTTACCCCTCCATCTGTCATTAATTAAACGGTTTGATTGCAGAATATCTTGCCAGACCATGTGGCTACCTATTACCTATCCGACGAGCATACGGACGAGCTCTATTCCAAGATGCATAATCAGTGCGGCGTTATGTTTGCCTCCATTCCGAATTTCCAGGATTTCTATTCGGAGGATATCGACAATGGCAAGGCCTGTATTCGCATCCTAAACGAGATTATCTGTAAGTTGATTGATTAAATTCTATTCCGTGATTCCAAATGTCTAATGATGCCGCAAACACACGAAATCAAATCAGGTGACTTTGATGAATTGCTGGAGGAGCCGCGTTTCGCGTCGGTGGAGAAAATCAAAACCGTGGGTGCCACCTACATGGCAGCGGCGGGACTGAATCACGAGCATTTAAGACTTCGCGGCGAGACCTCTGAGGATAGTGTCTGTGACCTGGTGGAGTTTGCCTTTGCAATGAAGCAAAAGCTGGAAGAGATCAACGGAGATGCTTTCAACAATTTCCAGTTGCGGGTTGGCATCTGCAGTGGTCCTTTGGTTAGTGGAGTTATTGGAGCTAGGAAACCCGTCTATGATATATGGGGCAATACGGTTAATGTGGCATCGCGTATGGACTCCACGGGCGAGAACTGGCGGGTTCAAGTTCCAGAGAATACGGCGGAGCTGCTCTGTTCTCGTGGTTATACGTGTGTGGTAAGTTTTACTATACCTGTAAACTATATATGTTACTTATTCTTTAATTTTTGTAATCCTCAGAAACGTGGAGAGATCGCTGTCAAGGGCAAGGGCATGATGACCACTTTCTATGTACATCCCAAGGGCATTTCGGAGAGCCAATTGATTTCGCCGGTTCGCATGCCAGCCGGAATTCCATTGGCCCAGACCCCGAACCTCCAGCGGCAGACCTCACATCATGGATCCTTCAGTGCCGTGGTCTTTGGAATGCTGCAGGCCAGCAAACGCAGCACTGCTATTGCCGGAACACGTAAGTTTTAGTAAGTTTACTAAAGCCATTTTAGTTAACTTAGTTTCTATTCTAGCTACGGGCACTCCTTCGCCGCAAATCCGTCGTGGACATCGGGGAAGCACCTTCAGCTCTGTTCGGTTATCCCAGAAGTCCACCACAGTTAATCCAGTGCGACGGAATACAACCCGGGTGCGGGGACGTTCCTATCGACAGAAAAAGGTAATTTGCTTAAATTTGATTTTAATTTATAATAAAGAAAAATCATTTTACCTTTAACTTTTCCGTCTAATTTCTTCAGAGTTCCTCCAACAATTCGATCGTCACCCAGGCCAGCTCCAGCTATATGCCATCGTTTCGACGTATTGATCAGATCGAAACGACGATATCGAAGAGCCACAACGATGCGTTATAGCCGACTACGCGTACTAACTGGGTCTAAAGTCGATCTCAAATGGATAAAGTGTCTGATGAATTTATTTTTGGAACGATTTTTTTCAACACGAAATGCTTATAAGTAAAGTTATGCCGACCGTTTCACAAGTTTATTGGCTTAACCTTAAGATTAACTAGTGGAGATCGGCACCGAAGCTACTTAGTAGAGTTTTAAAATCACAATCCTTTAGTGTACAATTTTTGCATTATCTCAGCACAATTCTAGTCGTTTAAACTTAAGAATTGCCGTTTTTGTGTGTGCGTTTAAAATCCCTTTAAACTTTAATGTAAGAAATTTGAATCTTCCCATAAAAAATGGAAACCCAACCGAACGAAATGCCAAGGAACCTACTAACTTTGTTCAATTCTACCAAAATGTTTACCAATTGTAGGGCAATTTTCTAGTATTAGTAGTCAATTTAAAAAGCCATTAATCAAATAGAAAATCAAATATTCGTTGTACAAATCTTTTCTTCTGATAAATGTAAATAGAATAAGGATATATAAGTGTAAAATATTTTACGAATATGTGTAAAGAGACGGACGTGTGTTACCAAGATGCGAAATTGATCATGGAATATAAAAAAATTTACAATTATTATAGCCAACAAAGTTTAAGCACTTACATTGTAAAAACCAAAAAACAGTTAAAAATAAATGTGATAAGAAAAATCTATCAAAGTTGTTGTCAATTATTTTAATTTAAAAAAAGGAAATAATTCATTAAGTCAATAAAAAAAACAATGCCTCCTTGCTTTAAAAGTCAATTATATATATAAATATATGTTCACTCATATAAATTAGTTATATTTTCTAACCTATTATTATCTCAAGAGTTGATTACCATTGAATACAATTTGTAACCATTTTTCAAGCTACCATTTCAAAAAAGGGCGCGCAGATATTTGTAACTGTATGAAAATACATTAGATGTGGCAACTCTAGAAATTGGGATTCAGGCTAGAACACAGCAAGGCCACACTGGCGCCAAACACATGCGGTGCTGCGGAAAAGTGTGATTATATTAGCTCGACTTCGTTTTCGACGTTTTGAAGGCATCGGCTCTCCAAATTCAGAGTGATCCACAGAGTGGCGGTGAATGCCAACAGCCCAGCAGACTAACGGGACGCACTTGAGATGACGAGTGGTACGGTAACGACGGCTGGTGGAGCGACGGTGGAGGTGCAGCTGCCGCTCAAGGTCGCCCGCCGGAGAATCGAGCGCGTTGGCTTCGCATACTTTGCGCAACGGCGCCAATTTCTAGCGCCCGGCGGCGTGGAGCGCAGCGATAGCGATGAAAAGTTGGAGGGCGTCGGCGAGGAGGTCGATGTCAGCTACCTCAAGTCATTGGATCCAAAAGAATGGAAGGATCAGGATCACTACGCCATTCTTGGTTTAGGCAAACTCCGGTGAGTGGGCAGCACGTGTTAGTCATCCACATGTGTTTGTGTGTTAGTTTGTATAATTAATTCATGACTTTTTGCGAATTAATGGCATATAATTTTAACTAACCCTTTTAGGTACGAGGCAAGCGAGGATGACATTCGACGGGCTTATAGACGCATGGTCCTGCTGCATCACCCCGATAAACGGAAAGCCAAGGGCGAGGAAGTTATTCAGGACGACGACTACTTCACATGCATAACCAAAGCCTACGAGATACTGGGTAGGTGTCAAGGCCACGAGTTTAGTGGGTCATTGTGAGAAATCCTTTATGTCCTTTAAAGGATATCTAAAGGATTTTATATTTAAATTTGATTCAATTCTTTTTGACATACGTCCGAGCAATATTACCCAAATTAGGTCAATTAGGAGTTGTTCTAAAATCTTCCTGTTGCCATTTTAATATCTAAAAATAGAAGAGCATTCTGTTTTGAAAAGTGATTAGATGGCCCGATTTATTTTCTTTCTAATAGTTTGTTATTTTACTGACTTCCTATTTATTCCAGGCACATCCAAGCCTCGTCGCAGCTTTGACTCTGTGGATCCCGAATTTGACGATTCGCTGCCCTCACAGAACGACATCGACAGCGATTACTTTGGCGTGTTTAACAAATTTTTCAAACTTAACGGGCGTTGGAGCGAAAAGCCGCATGTCCCCGCCTTCGGGCAGGTGGACGCCAAACGCGATGAGGTTGAGCGCTTCTACAACTTTTGGTACGACTTCAAGTCTTGGCGAGAGTTCAGCTACCTAGACGAGGAGGACAAGGAAAAGGGCCAGGATCGCGATGAACGACGCTGGATCGAGAAGGAGAATAGGGCGGCGCGGATCAAGCGCAAGAAGGAGGAGATGTCCCGCATCCGTGCGTTGGTCGATTTGGCTTACAACAACGATAAAAGAATTCAACGCTTCAAACAAGAGGAGAAGGATCGCAAGGCGGCTGCCAAACGAGCCAAGATGGACGCTGCCCAGGCTCAAAAAGCCGAGGCGGATAGGGCCGTACGGGAAGCTGCCTTGGCCAAGGAGAAGGCTGAAAAGGCCGAACAGAAACGCATCGAGCAGATCCGTATCGAACGCGAGCAGCAAAAGAAACTGCTTAAGAAGGAGCGCAAAACGCTGCGCGACAAGGTCAAGGACTGCAAGTATTATGCCAAGAACGACAAGGATCAACTGAAGCACATGGAGGGTACCGAAAAGATTTGCGAGACTTTTAATTTAACAGAACTTCAAGCTCTTAACAAGGCCATGGAAACCAAGGGCCGTGAATCGTTTGTAGCTGCCCTCCAAACAGCCGATCAGAAGATAGCTGCCGAACTGGAAGAGATTAACCAGACCCAGGCAAAGAAACTGGCCAGTGCAGCGCCAAAAGGTGTGAAGGAGGTCAAGAAGGGTGAACTCTGGAGCAATGAGAACGTGCAGTTGCTTATCAAGGCGGTTAATCTGTTTCCCGCTGGCACTGCTCAACGCTGGGATGTCATAGCCACGTTTATCAATCAGCATAGTCCGGGCAACACTGTCCTGGTCAATGCCAGGGATGTGCTGAACAAAGCCAAGGCTCTCCAGAACACAGATCACTCGAAAAGCTCCCTTAAAACCCAAGCCAACGATGCGGCCTTTGCTAGTTTCGAAAAGTCAAAGAAGGATGTTCAGACATGTAACGATATAACACTGGGCGAGGAGACGCCGGCCCAGGCGAGCAAGGAGAACGTGAAGCAGAACGGAGTAGATCATAAGGTTAACAATCAGCCAGCCAAGCAGAATGGCACGACCCCCACTCCTGCTGCAGCAGCAGCAACTCCGCCAGCAGCAACAGCAGCCCCAGCTCCGGCCACAAATGGTACTTCGGGTGGTGGTGGTGCCTCCAAAACCTGGACTAAGGAAGAGCAAGCTCTGCTCGAACAGGCAATCAAGACCTATCCAACGACAACGCCTGATCGATGGGATCGCATCGCCTCCTGCATACCGAACCGCAGTAAAAAGGATTGCTTGCGACGTGTCAAGGAGCTGGTCGAGCTGGTTAACTCCAAAAAGGAGGCACAGGCGGCGGTTAAATGAGTAAGGCTTATGCCCTCCAAACCCCTGCCATTCGTCCGCCTCATCCTCTTCTAGCTGCTGTGTCCCATATAAATTTTATTTAAATAAAACATAAAAAGTTTTTGAACGTTTAGCGAAAAGTTACATCCAAAGTTTCTCCATTTTGACTAGCTAGTTGCCACAGGTATTCAAAGATCAAAATATAGATTCTGTACGGGAGGGTAATCTTATGTCTGCTCAGCCACACTACGTCCACCGCTCATTTTCAGATCAAAGGCTTGCGGATTGGCAAAGGGATCAAGGTCGGCAAAAAGATCTAGCCAGGGATTATTGGTGGACTGTGATTTGCTGGCGACCGGGGTGGTCCCACTTGCACTTGTCTTGGCTTCCTTGGCTACTTGGCTCGGTAAGGGTTGTTGATTCTGCTGACTGAATAAGCGCGACCATAACTTGTTACTGCTATTTTGGGCTGGTATTTCTTCATCATCGAGAGGCGCATCAATCAGCGGGCTCTCCTCCAGCTGCTTAGATAACTCAATCAGCAAGGATTCATTGTCGCCGCAGGCAGTGGCAGGTTCGCTTGGTTTGTCCTCTTCAGACTCCTTTTTTTCTGGTTGGGTTTCCAGCTTATCCTGATACTCGTTCTGTAAAGGTATTGTAGTTTTATATAGATAGTTTAAGAATTAAGAAAAGAGTTAAAGTTACGGCAAAGAATAACGATTGATCCTTATCCACGGCTTCAATGGGTGGCACTTCCTCGCTAGGGCCTTCATTTTGGGACAGCTCCTTCAGCACACAGAAGTCGTACTTGGGTTTTATAATCAAGGCCTTGGATATGGTCTGGAATGTGGAGGCGGCCTTCTGAGCGAAACTCTTTAACTCGGCCACGTAGGCTACCAGGGCATGGGAATACATATTGCAGCGGGCAGCGGCCAATAAATCAATCTGGAAGGAATTAAACCCATTATTAAGTCTTTGACGATAAGACGAGTGATTACCTTTTGAATGGAATCCATGGAGTATCCATCAAAGTTATGCTTGGCCACTCGCACATGGGTCTGTGCCGTGCGGAACTTGTCCAGACCCTTTCCCGTATCGGGATCCAGTTCCTGGCTGGCAGATTTCATCCAGGATAGAGCAGCTCGATATTCCGTGCGTTCTTTTTCCATGGACTGAAGAGTCTGCTCCGTATCCTTAACCGCACGACACCGAAACACATCAACTTCGTGCTGTAGCCGCAGAAGCGGAACTCGAACGCACATCCTTTGCTGTCCGGCGAATGATACGGCTTTGCCTGTATGGGCGATACTTCCGCCTGTAGTCCGGCTCCTTTTTCCCGCCTCCTTCAGGAACCTCCCGAACACACATTCCTCCTGCGAAAGGATACAGAGGCGCTCCTGGTATTGGTCGATGATTTTGCATAGGTTCAAGCTGGTATCTGATATCGATTTGAACACCTCGATTTTAGAATCCAGCTCCGCGTCCGAGGATATTACGTGTTTGTCTTCCTTTGTCCCGAGTTTACGCTGTACCACCTTTTTGGTGATCCAGAACTGGTGCTGAACCTCCGACTTGAGCATATTTTCGCCGTTTTACGTTCCAGTTTTCAGCTGCTGGTGATTTTTCGCCACTTGATGGTTTAGGGGCGGTTGGGTTCGGATCGGGGGGTGGCGCTGTATCGTTATTTTCCACTGCCTATCGATTTTCGATTTTAATCGAAGCTTTGCAGGACTGAAGGAATTGGTATTTTTAAGGTTACACTTAAGTTTTTTGGTTGGGATTTTTAAAATAATTGGCAATAACCATAATTTACAAGTTAAAAACTATGACTAATACTGAATAATAATAATTTTGTATACACCAAAAATAACTAGAGTGAAAGTTAAGTTTGCATTTGTCAGAAATTTGATTTTTGGCGGTCTACCGATAGTACTGGTAGATATTGTATTTTTTTAGTATATTTTGTATTATCCCAATCCAAAGCTTATGGTCCCACTCTGTAAACGGAGTTAACAGGGTTCTGTATTAATCTTGGAACCTTAACATAGTGCATAATGCACACACAAGTTTGAATCGAACGTTGACGTCAAACGAAGCTGGCAGAGAAAATGCTGTGTGGGAAAAGTGAAGTTCAGATATAGTATCTCGTTCGCGATTCAGATCGACTTTGGACTCCGCAGCGGACGAGACAAGGCGAGACACTCTATATATAAATGTGTATAGTTACTCATTTCGTACCAGAACTCGAGTCGCGTTTTTCTTTTGGTTTTTGGCCCCCTTCTCGCTTTTTCACACCGAACCATTCAATATTTATATTTACGCAAGTGCTTTTCCTTCGCGTCGTGCATTTTCCTCGTTTGTTTACCTCTGATTATCACTGTGTGAGTGTGTTTTGGGATCTTATACGATGGAATTGCAAATGTGTGTGTTAGCCGGTGGCTAAAGTTCGAGTTTTGAGTTTCTTTATTTAGGAGACTGCAACAATTTGCAATTGCAAAATTGAAAGCGACACATATTTGTATGTTTCTTTAATAATGCGGCATTGCTAATTTGCTGAACAGGTATGTATGTATGGGCTTATAGATGTGTAAGATATAAGACATACAGTTACTTTCTGATGCTGCAAGCAGATACAAACACACGCACGCGAAGAAAGTGAAGAAGTGTTTAGTAGTTTAGTAGTTTTCTTGACTCAAGACAAAAAGAAAGAAAAAAACGGGTTGTGAGGTGGAGTTTTTGCCACCTGCATGTGTGGGTGTGTATGTTTTGAACTTAAGTGTGCATTTGTGTGTGTGTGTGTGAGTGATCCAGCTTAATTGATTAAGGAAAAACATAAAGATAATGCACTTTAAGACACAATTTAACAACAACAATCAACAGCCCGTGACATGGCGGCTTCTTTTTTTTGTTGGTGTTCCATTGGGTTCCCTAAAAATACACTTAAAGATGAAGTTTGAAATATATTAAATATATTTTTAAGATACATTTTGAAACTTAATTTTAATATATTCACGAAAATATAAGAATAAGATCTTTTTATTATCACTACGTTTAAGATGCCCTAATCCCAAAAGATAAGTCCACATTTTTCTTTTCTCTGCCTTAAAGATCTTAAGCCGCTGTTGCAATTAGATTCGGTTGCGGCCACTGAACAGAAAAACAACAAAAAAGCCAAACAAAAAAGCCAGTAACTACAATGAAATCATCGAATCAAAAAAAAGTAAAGAAAAAACAACAAAAAAAAGAAGCAGCCGAAAGAACTCGAAGTTGAGGGAAAAAGGTCACGGCACTTGCTGCTTGCTAAGCTTTTTAATGGTCCGCCTTGGGCCGGGCAAGAAACAACAACAACAACAACAACAATAACAGCGATGTGCCAACAATTGTTTAATGCAAGCAGGCACCTTGTTAGCCCTCTATGTCTATCTCTTTTCCTCTTTTTCCATCTCTTTCTCTCTTGTTAGTTTGTTAAAAGCCAACAAAGATTTCTCTGCATCTGCAACCTGACACAGATGGCGTTGCTGTAGTGGAAACTGTCATCGGTCGGCATTAATCAATAATATTCGAAATCAGAACAGCGCCAAGCTGTCTGTCTCTGTCTTCGGGCATCTTCTGCTCCCACACTATGTACCCTTCCTTGTCACTTACCATAGCCCCCTCCCCATTGAATAACAAGAATATGAAACTACGGGGTGACATCTTTAAGAAGAACCTGATCAAGAAATTTGTATTGGTTAAGAGGGCAATATGTAAGTTCTTATAGGGTGCCTATAGTAGAGGGTCTTATATCATATCATATTCATAATAATCTTTAAAAGCAGACCATTACTTTCATGTCTATAGTTTTCACCAGATTGATTAAGATGTTAGGGTTTTTTTAAAATATTTTTGCATTTTTTCTAAGATCTTTAAGGTGAACAAACTCGTTTCTGCATGTTCATACTTTGCTACTCAACATTATTAAAATTAAAATGGAAAACAAGCTTATCAAAATTATATATCTATTCAAGTTAACAGACACTTGATTAAAAATTTAAAAAATATTTATAAAGTCTGTCATTTATAACTAAAATCCCACTTAATATATTTTCAAAGTATAATTATTTTAAATTACAAACTAGATTGCTGCTTTAAGACAAATAAGTCAATTCCAGCTCCATTCGCTTTAATATAAAAAATGTGAACTAGTTTAATAAATAGTCAAAATACCATAAATAATCATAAAAAAGAAAACATAGCTAGTTAACTTAAATAACTCCATAAATAAATAGTAATAATTATGTAAAAACTAGCTTTTAACTTGTCTATAAATAAGAGACAAATTACGATTTATGAACTTGCTTGTGATTTTTATTACAAAAATATATAAGACCATCTTTATCTTTTTATATTTAAAAGTCCATCTTAAGGGATTTCTAATTTGGAGCAAAGTAGCCTTAGGGACATTCCACTGTCTCAAAGTTTTCTGTTTCGGTTGCCTTTGCATATTTTCTCACAGTTCCCTCGATGCAGAAAAAAAAATGTGAAAATTTCTTGCAAATACCTGCACATACATAATTTTCAGCCCGTTGTTGTTGTTGTTGTTGTTTTTGTTGTTGCTGCCTTTGCAAAATTTGTATCAAGTTACTTTGGTCGCTGCTCTCATTTGCATGCTGCGATATCGTTGCTGTTGTTGTTGTTGTTGATGTTGCAGTTGCTCTGGTTGCTGTTTTTCCACTGATTATTTCTTGTGTCGCTGCCGCTTGGCGTTGCTGCAACTAAATTGGCCTTAATTGGTTGCCTTTTTGTTGCCAATTTTGTTGTTAGCCCGCTTCAGTTGCAGTTTTAGTTGTTGTTTTTTTTTTTTTTTTCATTTTATTTTTCTTGCAGCCGCTGTGACCATATTTCTGTTGTCTTTTGCCTGTTGCACAGTTGTTGCTCTCTTATCGGTCGTTGCCGGCCGGCTGGAAGCACTTTTGGCCACTTTCGGCCACTTGTGGCATGCAGCCGTGTGTAATTTTTTATCCGTCGTCTTGTTTCGCTGCCCTTTTTGGCCGGGTCTAATTGCTGCGGAATTGGCTACGACTTGGCGGGGAAACTAGGCACTGAAATCTGTGGAAAACCCAATAAATAAATCAGCAAGTGGTGGAAAAATAATGCTTTTGGGAAGGGTTTTATGGAGAGATGTGTGCTTACTTAATAAGTAAAAATGTTTTTACAAAACTTTAACGGTTTTTCAGTTGCCTTAACAACTTAGAATATGGTAATTAGAACAGAAACCAAGTGGAGTTTTAAGTAAATAACACACCAGCAGTGCTTAAATAGTGGGAGTATCATAACTGAAGACCTAATAACTAATATTTTTATTTATATTTTTAATGAGACTTCGTGTTGGCTTTAGACATCCCATAGCGAGAGCATTAACCGTTCGACGCGTTATATGGCTAATGTGATATTTCCCAATTTTATTTGTTTTGCCTGACGACTGCTCGCTTTTTTTCCCTTCAGCTGCTTGCATTTTTAATGCGCTTGCATGGCTTATTGGATTTAATTAGCCCAGGTAGCAGGGTAGCCAGCCCGGCAGCAGCCGGTAAGCCGGGTTTTCATTATTGTTTGCAAATTGTGGGAAAAAATGCAAAATGATCCCCCGCCAACTTCCACTACCGCCCCATTGCGTTTTATAGTCGCTAAAGTTTTTGTTTTATTTTTTTTTTGGTGGCCATTATGCAATCGAAGCTCTGGAACCAGCCAATAAATCAAAATGCCATTCTCAAGACTCTGTTGGCTGCTGCAAGTGCCACATGTAGCAGCAGCCACATGTAGCACAGCAAAAACAACAACAATGAGCTAAGGCCTAGTATTCAGAGCATGTCAATGTGGGCCTCCGGCAATGTTAGCCCAACTCCCCCTGCTTCCGATCCCCTTTTCCCTCTGTTGCCCTCTTAAAAAACCTACACATTTTTTAATGCACTGTGAGAAATTATGGATTTTAATAATCGTAAACATAAAATGGTCTGAAAACATGACTCCAAAAAGTATGCTACACTTTCAAGATCCTTTTAAACATTTAAATTTGTTATTTATAAAAATTTAAAATACTTCTCACTGTGTACGACATTTACCGTTTCGGCAAGGTCTGCCGGCCAGCTGCCAGTTGGTCTCGATCTCCCAGATTCTTGCCACTTGCCACGAATCCGAGTAACCAAGTATATGCCATGCCACATGTGCCACCCATTGCACAATCGCAGAATGTGTGCGGCTGTCCTGCCGTCCCGCTGTCAATAAGCCAACAAAAAGCTAGTTTATTGAGTCGTCGTCGTCGTCGTTGTCGCCGGTTCTCTGCACTCAGTTAACCCAACCTGTCATGCCCACGCGTCGAGGCCAAGTGGCCGGGGCACAAAAATCGCATCCGAGTGGCCACTCATTCGGTTTGTCATACTATACCCCATGCCTATTTAATGTAGTGCATATGGGCACTCGAAGGGAAAGTGTTCTTGTGGTGTCCAAAAGGTGTCAGATACGGAAAAGGTATCAGTTAGCCACTTTAAGTCATGCCAATTGTTCTACAAAATTGCGCAAGTCAAGTAAGAAAATCCTTCAACTTTTCTGTAGCATTTTCCACCATTTGCAAATCTACAATAAAGATTTTTGTTAATTTAAATTTAAATTAAGATTTTTGCTAACTGAGTTAGGGGTTGCCTTTAGGCTTTTTGCTAAAAGGTTATACTTTTATAGGTACAACCATAAAATTAGCTTATTGCAGTTGCTATTGTCGTGAGCTAAAAACTTAATCAAAAAAGTAATCATAATAAAGTTTTTAGATTTCAAATTAGTTTGCAAATGGAGTTACCAAAGGTCTTGGAAAGAAGATAACGATTATTCTTCAAAGTTTATTTAGATTTTAAGGAATCTAGCTTAAAGTTTCGAAATTTAATTAAAAGATATTTTTAAGTTAACAGATTCTGAAATCAAAACCTATTGCCTGTTGATGACTTGAAAAACTAAATAGACTTCATCTTAACTAAACTTTTCAGGCACTTTTGCTTCTAATGAATTGGTGTCTTGGGTAATTCCATGGTCGAGTACCAACGTTCTCCTGCCATTTCCTGCCAACGTTTTGCTGATTAGTTTTCAATTTGAATTCAAGTTCTGGGCGGAAAGTGTGTGGGGTCAGTCAGCAGCGTTGATGATGATGGTGGGGCAACAATCCATGGGCTGGCTGATGACCCAATTGCTGGCAGACCAAGTCCACTTCGGAATCAGATGCGCTTTTAGAAGCCTCCTACATGGAAGTTTCCTACTCGAGCTGCGCCTGATGATCGACTGACCCACAAAAAGTGGGCCTTTGTCGGTAAGGCAGGTGAAGGGGGGGGGCAAAATGGACTTAAATATAGCTATCAGGCTTTAAGTGGCAGCCACAGCCGCCTGGGCAAATTTATTGAATCTCATTGAGCAGCTTTCTATACTTTCTCGCTCGCACTGGCAAGGGGGGGAAAAATGGCCAGCGATTTGTTTATTGCGGAAGAAGTGAAAAGTGCGCGGCCAAATCAGCCTCGTCTTTATGCTCGTGCAAATTAATTTGTCTAAGACATTTCAAAGGCATCTCACGGATGCGTATCTTGCGGTTTTTGTGGTCACTGGGATATTTACATTTCGTACGAATACCGTATCGATATGTCTCTCTCTGCCTGTTAGATATCCAATGATGAGTTGGCTTAAAGTAATGCCATTTCTTCTCTTTACTTTTTATTTATTTTTTTTTGCCTTGCTTCTGGCCACAAAGTGCGTTTTAATTAACCCACGAGTCGACCTGGCCAATTACTTTTTGCCTGCTTCTGCATTTTTTATATATATTTTTTTACTTCATCGAGGATCGGGCAACTGGGATTCGCAATGACTTTCACTTTCTCGCCCGGGCCGGCCAATGTTGGTGGTGGGGGGTTAAAAGAGGGAATAAAGCACAGGCGGCGGTGGGTTAATGAGGATGCCACATTGCTGCACATTTCGTGCCGCTTCATTGTGATTATCTTGTTGAAGAGATTCAAACTGTGGCAGCGGCTTTCATGTAATTTATTTGTTTATTGTCTTGGCCAGGGCCAGGCCACATACACTCCTTGTACATATATACACACACATCGGTCGAGTCAGCTGACTATACATTATCCACTATCCATCCACTAACCACCCACCCCGGGAGGCAACCAACCTGAACCTTCAATTTTGGATGGGCGGACAGCAGCGTGAGTCGTGAGTTCATATTTTGGGAGAATTTCTTAAAACATTTTTATAATATTTAATTCTAAAGGTTGAAATTAATAATTCTAATTGATTTATTAGATAAACTTCTTAATTTTTTTTTACTACATGATCTTATCAACCTAATTTAAGACCCAAAGCTGTTGAAGATCTCGTGATCACGAGGCCATCTCGAGAAAAGTACAGGAGTCCGTTGCTGTTACACTTGCACTTGCCATTTGCTACTTGTACCGCTGATCTTGTTGTTTTTGTTGTTGCTGGTTTCTTGTTTACCTATCGTCTCGTTTTGTATGGAATCGCTCAAAGTTTGTCCGTCCAACGGAGCATCCGTCCGGCAGTCAGCCAGTCCGCCCATCAGTTCAGTGTTGGTCCGCTTGTCGCTCCGTTAGCTCGTTAGAGCTGAAGATGAACAAGTTTTTCCTCAACTGGCACTCTAGACTTATTTCTTCATGTAGCCAGGAAGCCAGCGATTTCTCATCTTTGTTGTTATTGTTGTTGTTGCTGTTGTTGATGCTCTCGTTGATGTTGATTGTTGATGTTGCAGTTAGTGCTTTCCCTTGGATGCAGAGCCACCCGCAACCTCTGGCCCCTCGCGGAAAACCACACACCACTCATGCGAGGCGGCTTAATTAGCTCCATGGGCTTTTCTCTGGCTTTTCTGGCATCTGTACTTTGGCATCTTTGGATTCGGGATTGTTTCGCTTTCGTTCTCACATCCCAACAGCCTGGCAGCAGGCAGCAGGCAGCCCATGTTAATGTTATTTTTCCGAGTGAGTGAGTTAGTGAGCTTTTCCAACTGCTGTTTTTCGCACACCAATTTTTCACTTGATCAAAAGAAAGTTCCTAGCGATATTGGGTCCTCAAAAATTTTCGCTCAGCACGATAGATAGCGAGAGAGAGAGAGAGAGGTAAAGGAAAGAAAAAAGCGAGACGGAGTGAAAGAGTTAAGTGCATTTCCTGGAAATAACGTTTCCTCTGCCGCAGTCAGCAGCAAAGCCAGTTCGCTATTCCACACTTTTCCGCACTTCGGCGGCTTTCAACTTGTTTTTGGGTTTCGGTGACTGTTTGGAGTTGGTTAAATTGGTAGTTCTAACTTTGAAAGAAGTTCAGTGAATCTTCATGGCTTACCGATGGATTTTGGGAAGATAAGATGTTGGCCATAACATGATGGGAACTTGACTTCTTTAATTTAGAGATAGTATATGTTAAACATCTTTTCTTTGTTTACAATTTTAATAAAAACTGATTTCGGCATTTTTATAAATTTTTATTGAATACTTTTCCAGGGGGTTTTGATAATAATGATAAAATGTATCCAAAAATAATGACAATAAAGGAAAAGGAAACTTTTTTGGTTGGAGTTAAGGCTTGTTTAAGCATTTTATGCTAGAACTTTGAGTTTTACTCAGCTAATAAACCCATAAAAAGATAAACTTTAAACTTAATTTCAATTCACTTAGCCTTCTAACTTCTTTATGAAAGTAAAATAAACTTAACTATAAACTCAAAGGCATCAAATTTCCTTAAAATAAAAACCCAAACCATAAGAGCTTCTAATAAACCTTTTCCTTTTCATCTTTACCATCATTTTTATTAGAAAATATTAAATAAATATCGAAAATCTCTCGTCTGTAAATCGAGAATAACCCTGTGAAGGCATCTTCTTCTGTTTGAATGCGTTTTGTGTCTCTCCACTTGGCTGCATCTTCCACCTTCCATCGGTTGAGGCAGAGAAACAGAAGAACGGGCCAGAGAACTTGATCCGAGTTGGGAGTTGGGTTTTTAGCTTTTGGCCAAGTTGAGTCAAGTTGAGTTACGCGGCCACTAAGTAGAGTCAAACTCGATTTCAGTTCAGGCCTGGCAGTTTGTTCGTTTTCGTTTGTTTTCGGTGCCACATTCCCTGCTCGTTGGCCTGGTCGCTTCTCACATGATTAAGCCAGATTGCTTTCAGCTGGCAGCCGGATTGCAGTCTCCTCAACAGATCTGCAAAAGATTCCTCTCCGTCGTTCGTTTCTTTCTCTTCTTGGTTTTCTGCAGTCTGCAGTCTGCAGTCGTTTGCCTATTTATAGCAAGGCGCTTTGGACTTTGACCAGATCTTCGATCCGATGACGCAGCTTCTTTGGTTTTACAGGGGAAAAAAACGAGTTAAGAGTAAAATGATAAATGATATGTCAAACGAAAAACTACAGAAAATTCTGATAAAAAGCTTAGAAATCTTTGCCATTTTCATATTAGGTTCCTGAAAATTCTCTTCTCTTTATTAGCAAAATTTTCTGGCATTCTTAAACCAATCAAACTGAAGATTAAAACTTTTGTTTATGTGCAGCGATTTGTGCTACGATTTACATCATCGCCAGCCAGCAGGGCATATATATATATCTCCTCGAGTGGAGTTCAAGCCCCGAGAGGTCATAGAAATCGCAGAGTCCATTGCGAAATCTTTAGCACACTCGAGATCTGCATTCTTATATAGGGGAGGCATCAACAGCCATACAGACTTCTTTTGCCCCAAAGACCGTTGCGAAATGCAAATATCAACAAATGAGCAAATCGTTTCGTTATTTGTTTGACAGCAACACAAACGTTGCATCAAAGTGGGTAAACAAAGGCCACAGAGATATGTCGATGGAGATGGAAAATGTGGGGGAAAAATATGGCATAGGAGGCGATGTTACCTTGGATGCCCCGTCGTTTGCCTGATGAACGGTTGACCCAGTCGAGTGGTTTTCGGCCAGCAAATGCATTCTAGCCGAGGCTCGAACTCGGACTTGGTTTCAATTGATGCTAATTGCTAATTGCATAATAATAATTCATTCTTCTTGGGCTTCCGCATTGCAAATGCCATACCATCTGCTGGACAAAATGCAAAATGCAAATCCCTTGCAGATCTTTAATTAAACTCATCACAAACACTTTTGCGAGCGCAAAAAGGAAGGCGTTTGTATTATGAACACAGCGTGTGGATTACTCATACGCCCCATCGTCCACATCAAGACACGCCCTCTTAACGCGAATCAATGGCAACGCCCCCTACGGCTTTTCTCTGCGTCATGGAACATGAGTCGGGGGAAAACTCCCAAGGAGGCCAACACAAAATGCAGAGATATTTATGGCCCAGCATTGATTTCAGCCATTCGATTCCGCTCTTAACTGAGTGTTCTGTGTGTCTGTGCGAGGTTGTGCTTGATTTAACAGTTGATTGGGCGGGGAAAATGTAATTTAAAACAACAACCCCTTAGATTAAGCGGAAAAATCAAATCTGTAGTGGTTCAATTACCATTTATAGAAAAAACTTGAATTTGTTTGCTATATTAAATGGGCATTAAGAGTCTTCTAAGGTGACTTTAATAATAAATAGTTTATAATAATATTTATTCATTACAAATTTGCATATCTATGCACTTTCTTTTCAAAATTACAAATTCAAATTTAATTCCCAAAAGTGCATTTAATATTCGCTTCTAGGCAAAATGACTTCCCTTTTGTCTGCCATTTCGTTTTCCATGGCTTGTTAATTTTCACTTTGTCCGGCTGGCGAAAAATCCCAGGCAAAGAGAATCGGAAAAACCTTTTTCAAGTTCATGGCTAGAAGCACCGCACAGCCAATACAAACAACGCCCAAGAGCTGCAATTTTTGAATTAGCCAAATTACTATTATTTGCCGCAGCACAACCAGATACATAGATACAAAAGCCAAAACTCACATGCAGAAAAACTAAAACCCATAGATACAGCCTTGTCTGTCTGGCTGGCTGGCTGGCTTTTTCGCCTTGGCTCTCAAAATTTTGTTGGCCCTGCTGAACGTGGCTGAATGATTTAATGTCCTTTTTGGCAGCCACACCCCGAAAAATCTCACCCCTCCAAACCTATGCAGTTGTTGTCTAGACTGCGGCAAACGAACTTTATTCGGTTTTCCTCTATTCACCATTCTCATTTCTAGATTTCTCATTTATTTTACTATTTTTCGGCGAAAAGTGAGTTTTTCGCAGCAATGGGTAGGGGTCCTTAAACCAGGAGCTTAAGGACCTTCCCCCAATTCAATTTATAATGCCGCGACATTTTGCACTTTACTTTGGCTTCACGGTTTGCGTGACTTTGCCACGGAAAGGCAATGGAAAAAAAATTAACCAAATGATAAAATTTTCCTTCGCTTTTATTTCAATTTTAATTCAAAGCGGATTTTGGCATTACCTTGGCGGGGGGATGGTTCAGTTCACTCTCTTTGTTTTTTATTTTTCTGGTTAAGCTTTTTGGAAAATGGCAGTTAGAGGGGTTCAATGGAGTTCAGTTTTTTTTTTTTTTTTTTGATATTTGCGTGCCTGGCCACAAAAGTTGGAAACTGTTTTTAATGCTGCCACACAACGATGCGCATTGCCGATAAGGTTGCACTCCCCTACAAACTCCCCCTCCTTTCAGAAATATAAAAGGGTTTTGCATTGCATAACACCATCAATCTTTTGACCAGGCCAAAAGCAAAGGAGGATAGGCTCTGCCGCAGGCCATATATCATTCACAGTGTCTGGTTGGCTTAACAACATGCAACAGCGAAACGTAGCAATTAAAGCCAATGAATTGACAAGAAACTGCCGGCCGGGTCTAAAAATCTCCTAAACAATTGTTATCTTCGAGAGACAATTGCCGCCTTTGTCTTTTTTTTGCAAACTAAATTCAGGGTGAGGCCGCCAGCGAAATGTTTGGCCAAATTGTGGGGTACTTTTCTGCAATGATTTGCCATTATTTTTTCCTTTTTTTTTTTGATAGTTTAAAATCAAAATTTGCATACTAATATTAGGAGAATAAATGAATGGAATTGTTACTATGACTTGTTAGGCGTAACAATGAATGAAAATGAAGCCGAAAAGGTTTCTCTCTCATTCACTTTTTTGGGTAACGAAACTATTTTTAGACTTTACGAGCTCTTGAAAACCTTTAAATAAAAATCCTAAAAAATTCATAGGTCATTCTTCTGCCTTAAGGCCCTTAAAAATCTTTTTAAAAATAGCAAATTAAAGTATTTCCGCTTCCCTTCAACCCAGTTTGAAGCTGAAACAGCAGCCAAGAAAAGCAACCAAAATAAAATATAAATTAAAAATTGTGCACAAATTGCAATTAAGGTCAAGTTTGTGTTGTCAGCTGCTGCTGCTGCTGCTGCTGCTTGACCTGCTTTGAAGTGGAAATCCCCAAACACACATCTCGGGTTCCTAAATTAAATATCCGAAACAAAAAACGGAAACAGATTAATTCCAAGCAATTGAGCCATGTAATTAACAACAGGCGAGCTGATGATGATGACGATGCTGTAAGATTGCGTTTTGCTGCGACAGCAAATGATTCTCGATTCTGCAACTTCCATTTTCATCTGCAACTGAGTTGCTAACTCATAAATTTTGCGGTTTGTTTGGAACCTTGGCCATAACGGTATACATATAGCATGAGTCTGAGTCGGAGTCTGAGTATGAGAGTGCAACATGCTGGGATTTTGCCGGTCTTGCTGTTTTGGTTTTGGTTTTTTAGAGTCCCCACAACATTTTTGCCAACTCAATGTTTGTGAATGAAATATTTGAATCGGCAGTGGCAAAATGGTTATAAATTCGACATGGTCTGCAGCTGAAGTTCTCGGGCTAAATGCGGTAAATCATGTGGCACGGAAATTGAATTTTAATTTTACGATTAAGGGGAGTTTTGGGTTTCGGATTCTAAAGAATTTTAAAAGAAGAAGAAGAAGTTTATGTGGGGCTTAAAGGGAGATTTATGAATAAAGTTGTTGAGTTTCTGCAGAAACTTGCATGTAACTTATCAGTAAATGAAGTATAGATATAGAGACAATCTTCTTTCCTAGAAGTAGGTTTTTTAACCTTTATTAGAATGAAATTTAACACTCTTTCCCCTTCTCGAATATTAATCAATTCCAGCAGCAGAATTTCTCATAATTACCATAACCATAACCATATCTAAAAGCTAAACTTCTTGCATAATTTCCATGGAAATGATAGACCAAACACCAATTCGTTTTTCACTATCGCTTACAGTTTTTTTCCTGCCTGTTTTTTGCTCACTTTCGCTGGCTAGAAAAACGAGCAAAACAAACGAAATAAATAAGGCGGCAATAAAAGCGATAAAATAAAAATAAAATAAAAATGGAAAAACAAAAAAAGGCTTTAGGGGGCTCAAAGTACTGGACCTGAAAATTCCCCCCTCTTTGCTGCTACGCCCCTTTTAACTGGGCCACGCCCACTTAACGTTTTGGCGATTTCATCAAAATGCGCATAAATTTGTGACCTGCACTGTGGTGTGTGTGAGAGAGTGAGTGTGTGTGTGTGTAGTTTCTGGCAAGTGAGACGTCTGTGGCGTCCATGGCACTGTCCATGTGGGTGGTCGACGGTGGAAAATTGGAGAAAAGACCATTTGCATCTTTCTCTCCGGTTTGCAAAGTGTGTAGATCTTTGGGCACTGAAAGAAAAGATGTGGATTTATTAATAGATAAGAAAATCATAAAATAGAAATAAGAAAACTTGAAATCAAATCAAATTTTTGATTATTTTTGCTAACCAAACTGTCCAATTTTATCTACAATGTTGTCCCATAAAACCCAATGTTTTTTCCAGTGCACCAAAGTGTTTGGCTTCGATTTCTAAAACAAGAAAATTTGCATTTAATTGGGCAAGTTTGGTCTAAACAAGCCGGGGAAGATGTAAGAGGGAGGAAGTGGAAGTGCGACAAAGTGTATTTATTCTGCTTTGAAGTGACGGACAACCCCGTGACCAGAGGAAAACCCCTTTAGTTTTTGAGCCTGGGAAAAACGCAGCAGATGAGATTTGGCTGACATCAATCAGCCGGAGATCTTAGCATTTGTCTGTTTTTGCTTTAATGGAGGGGGAGGAACGGCGGGGTTTGTTTGTTATTTTATCTGCGACACGATGACGTTTTCAAAAGACCAAAATGCTAGAGAAAGAGAGAGAGAGAAAAAAAGCGATGAGTGAAAGTACATTTTTCGTATGTGGCACTGCAGTTGTTGTCATTTCATTTCATTTCTTTTCAGCCGGGCCGTAATGTGTGTAAAGTTTGCAACCGTCGACAGACGACTTCTCATGGCTGTTTGTCTCTTCGGCTTTTTGATTGTCTGGCGATAGCCAATTGAGATTTTCATTTGTCAGTCAAAACAGCCACGGCGAAACAAAGGCCGAAACCGAAACTGAAACTGAAATCGTAAGACGAAAGACGATAGACGCAAGACGAGACGCGTCTGTCAATGACATAGAAAGAGAGTTTAAATCTTCAAAGACTGAGCATGATATGTACTTGTTACTCTGCCTTGTTGTTGGTTTTTCCCCTCTTTTTCATTTTTTTTTTTTTTTTTGGTATTGCATTGGGTCTGATTAGACTTTTGGTTGATGTTCGAGTATCCACGTTTCACTTTCCCTCTCATCAGAGTTTCTTCTGCGTCATCGAAAGATTTCCAATTCTTCAATCAGCTTGGCACGTGCTTGGCTACTGGGTGAAGATTGTCTGCGGGAGAATTAAACCGAAAAACAAAACGCTGTTGGTCTAGGGCTAGATTGCGAGATCATTGTCAAGCGGAAGTGCACTTGCCCCATGCAACACTCCCGCTGAGAAAATGGGGGAAATTTAACTGATACCTACTGGTTTTTGGGTATTTTAGACTATTAGGTGCTTAGACTACCTTTAGAACATGTCAAGTAATCAGTAACCTGCAGAGTTCTCGTCACCTGCTGTTGGCCCTTTGTTAGTGGAGAGTTTTTCTCTTTGCCCTGAAAAGCAGTCAAGCTCTGCTGAACCTTTGGCATGAAACAATGACCTCAGTAAATTCGTTTTTAATGATACCAA